GTGGCATGCACAGTGTGTAAAGGCATGGTGAGGCTGTCAGTTCTGACAAAAAAGCGGCTGAGAAGCTTGTACAGGAGTTTAAGGAGTACAAAGACACTGGAGAATTCAAACCCCAACAAGTGTTCAATTGTGACGAAACAGGTCTCTTTTGGAAGAAAATGCCAAAGAGGACCTACATCATGCACTCCCAGGACACAAGCCTATGAAAGACGGGCTAACTCTCATCTTTCTTTCTTTCAACACACCGGCCGTATCCCACCAAGGCAGGGTGGCCCAAAAAGAAAAACGAAATTTTCTCTTTTAAATTTAGTAATTTATATGGGAGAAGGGGTTACTAGCCCTTTGCTCCCGGCATTTTAGTTGCCTCTTACAACACGCATGGCTTACGGAGGAAGAATTCTGTTCCACTTCCCCATGGAGATAAGAGGAAATAAACAAGAACAAGAACTAGAAAGAAAATAGAAGAATACCCAGAGGGGTGTATATATATGCTTGTACATGTATGTGTAGTGTGACCTAAGTGCAAGTAGAAGTAGCAAGACATACCTGAAATCTTGCATGTTTATGACAGACAAAAACACCAGCAATCCTACCATCATGTAAAACAATTACAGGTTTTCGTTGTACACTCACTTGGCAGGACGGTAGTACCTCCCTGGGCGGATGCTGTTTACCAACCTACTACCTAAGACTAACTCTCATGTTTTGTAGTAATGCTAGTGGGGATTGCAAAGTGAAGCCTTTACTGGTGTATCACTGAAAATCTCAAGAGTGATCAAGAAAAACAGTGTTGCCAAGAGTAATTTGTGTGCGATGTGGAAGGTTAACAGTAAGGCATGGGTCACAAGGGAAACTTTCCTTGACTGGTTTAATGACATGTTTGGCCCCAGTGTGAAGAAATACCTCCTGGAAAATAAATTGCCACTCAAGTGCCTCCTGGTAATGGACAATGCTCCTGCTCATCCTCCAGACTTGGAAAAGCAAATGGTGGAGGACTTTACTTTCATCATGGTGAAGTTCTTGCCTCCTAATACAACTCCTCTCCTCCAGCTCATGGACCAGCAGGTCATTTCAAACTTCAAAAAAAACTACACCAAAGCAGTGTTTCAAAAGTACTTTTAAGTGACCTCAGATACTGAACTGACCCTAAGAGAGTTCTGGAAAGATCACTTCAATATCCTCACTTGCATAAACCTTATAGGTAAGGCTTGGGAGAGAGTGACTTGCAGAACTTTGAATTCTGCTTGGAGAAAATTGTGGCCACAATGTGTACAAGAGAGGGATTTTGAAGGGTTTGGGGCTGACCCTAAGGAGCCTATGCCAGTTGTGGAAAGTATTGTGTCACTGGGGAATTCCATGGGGCTGGATGTGAGTCTCGAGGATGTGGAAGAGTTGGTGGAGGACCATGATGAAGAGCTAACCACTGCAGAGCTGCAAGAGCTTCATCTGCAACACCAACAGACCACATCTCAGGAAATTGCTGCAGAGGAGGAAGAGAGATGGAGGAAGGTGCCTTGTTCAAAGATTAAGGACATTTGTGCAAAGTGGACTGAAGTGCAATTATTTATGGATGAACTTCACCCTGACAAAGCTGCTGCAGGCTGTATTGGCAACATGTACAATAGTACCAGTTATCTCAGTAGTATCAGTTACCAGTGTCAGTAGTAGTGACTCACTACCAACCGTCTGTGTGAATCACTTGTTATTCACCGACGTTACTGCTGACCCCAGCATGTTTTGAACGCTGCTCACCCAGGCATCATTCGTGAGTCAGTTGAAGGATAGTCAAGCTTGGCGCTTCCCATATAGTCCATCGAATATACGTACTTACTGCCTAAGTGAGTGTTATTACCCAATCCACGTTTCGGAACCCACAGGACAGATTCCCCTTCCAAACAAGTGTACACCTTCCTCCTATCCCCTCCTTTCAACTTCCATCCACCCAGAAGTCTTCAGTAAAGGTAAGCGTAATGTTATTATCATTTTATATATGTATGTACTTGATTTCTCATTGTTTTCTGTATGTAAGTCTTTATTTAATTTAAAAAAAAAAAAAAAAAAAAAAAAAAAAAAAAAAAAAATGAATATTTTTGGGTGACTGGAATGGATTAATTTTATTTCCATTATTTCTTATGGGGAAAATGGTTTCGCCATTCGGTAATTTCGTCATTCAGCAGACTCTCTGGAACGGATTAATCACGAAACTCGGGGGTCCACTGTACTGTATTAACCCTTTGACTGTTTTGGTCGTATATATACGTCTTACGAGCCAGTGTTTCAGACGTATATACGTATACTCAATAATTCTAGCGGCTTCAAATCAAGCGGAAGAAAGCTGGTAGGCCTACATGTGAGAGAATGGGTCTGTGTGGTCAGTGTGCACCACATAAAAAAAATCCTGCAGCACACAGTGCGTAATGAGAAAAAAAAACTGATCGCTTTTTTGGATTAAAACGCCGACTTTGAGGTGTATTTTTGTACAGTATTTATCAATGTATTTGCGTTTTCATGGTCTAAGGTGATAAAATGGAAAACATATTACAGAAACAGAGATGATTTTCATTACTTTGACGATGAAAACGACCTTGAAACTGAGCTCAAAGAAGCGGAAATGTTCGATTTTTACCAATGTTCAGGAGTAAACAAATCACACCACACGTCCAATACACGTCAACTGGGGAGTCTAATATTCTTTCACTAGTGCACTGATATTATTTATACCATTTTTACAATAATGCAGTAGTCTGCATAACAGTAAATTTTGTATTTTTTTGTATGAATAAAAAATCAAAATAGAAAGCAATAATAATATAAGAGGGGCCTAGAGATGTGACTAATAGACTATATTCATTTATAACGGCACAAAACATACTCAACCCCTGCCAATTTGGATTCAGGAAAAATAAAAGCACTAACGATGCAATCATAAGAATGCTAGATCTGCTTTACAAAGCATTGGAAAATAAGGAATATCCACTAGGAATTTTTATTGACCTAAGAAAAGCTTTTGACACAGTAGACCACGGCATCCTACTCCACAAACTTGACCATTATGGTATAAGAGGCCATGCGCTTGCATATTTCAAATCTTACCTTACTAACAGGTATCAGTATGTCACCATTAAAGACACAGCATCAACAACACAGCCACTTGATACTGGAGTTCCGCAGGGAAGTGTCCTTGGTCCCCTGCTCTTCCTCATATACATCAATGATCTCCCAAACGTATCTCAACTCCTGAAACCCATTCTCTTTGCTGACGACACGACTTATGTCATCTCTCACCCTAATCTTGCCACCCTCAACACCATTGTTAATGAGGAGCTGATCAAAATATCGACTTGGATGACAGCCAATAAACTTACGCTTAACACAGACAAAACCTACTACATTATGTTTGGTAGCAGAGCAGGAGATGCGCAAATTAACATTAAGATCGACAACACTCTAATTGCCAGGCATAATGAGGGCAAATTCCTAGGCCTATACCTCGACAACAACCTGAACTTCAGCACCCATATCCAACACATAACCAAAAAAGTATCCAAAACGGTTGGGATCCTCTCCAAGATATGATACTACGTGCCGCAAACTGCCCTTCTCACACTATACCATTCACTTATATATCCATACCTCACCTATGCTATCTGTGCTTGGGGTTCAACTGCAGCAACACACCTAAAGCCAATAATAACCCAACAAAAAGCCGCAGTAAGAATAATCACTAAATCCCATCCCTGGCAACATCCCCCCACTCTTCATAGATCTAAACTTACTCCCTGTTCAGTACATCCACACTTACTACTGTGCAATCTACATCTACAGGACCTTAAATTCCAATATTAACCTTGACCTAAAATGCTTTCTTGATAGTTGTGACAGAACCCACAGGCACAACACCAGACACAAACATCTCTATGACATTCCCAGTGTCCGACTAAACCTTTACAAAAATTCAATGTATGTCAAAGGCTCTAAAATCTGGAACACCCTACCTGAAAATTCTAAAACTGCAGACACATTCATCACCTTCAAAACTACCATCAGAAAACATCTTATCTCCCTGATACACCCTGTCAACTAATTACACGAATACCGAATACCACCTGGTGGTCAACACTTACACTCACTCACCCATTTGACCATAAGCAGAAATATCAATCTCAATCTCAAAATAATGAATCTTAACTAGTCATAAGTTGGCCTGTGATACTCCAATACTGAAACTATGTATAGTGCCAAAACAAAAGCATTCACATTGCTAAACTCACAAACTAGTATTTAGTCACTTAGCCATAATACCAACTTACCTCATAATTTTGTAATATTTTAAACTTAAGATTTAATTTAAGTCTGCCCGAAATGCCTAGCCATGCTAGGAGTTCTAGTGGTACACTCTGTAATTATTATTTTACTATATGTAAACCACACAATAACCAAATTCTGTAAACTCAGCATTGTAATCCTTATAGAGAATAAACTTTGAATTTGAATTTGAATAAACAGAGGATATGTTATTTTAGTGCCAAGAATGTCTACCTTGTTTATTCTGGATCCTATTTTGAAATTGGCATCTTTTTTAGTTTGCGTGAAATTGGCCAAATTGCCAATTTCTGATCACAATATTGGGTAGTCCAAATTGGTAAATGGGCAGTTTCTTGTACTCAGCTGATAGATAAAATGGAGTTCTAAAGAAATAGCTGTGAGTTTGGTCAACTGGAAAATCGGAATTGGCTGAAAATAGGGCTCAAAGCCGGTGAAATCGCCGATATGTCGCTGAGACCGCTAACCTTGCGGGAGCGTAATTCCACGAGTTTTCGACCAAATTTCGAACTTTTGGTGTCATTACCACCGGGAAAAGATTCTCTATCATTTCATAAGAAAAAAATAATTTTTTTTTTTCAAAAATTTAGCGACATAGAATGACAGTTTCAGAAAGGGGCCTGAAACAGTCAAAGGGTTAAATAAGTAAAATAAAGTACAAATACAGTATACAGTACCTGGCCACGCTTACACCCAGCAGCTGCAGGGAAGTTTTCAATTAATAAACAGGTTATGGGGGCTTTAATGCAGTTAGCTGTGATCTTGCGTCCTCGAGAGAACAATTCAAACTGCTTCCAATCTCCTATTTCTCGTAAATTTTCCGACTCAGGACGAAATCCATCTTGTGGTGGTAAGGCTAATAGGGCTACACCCTCATCTCGTATGGCCTTCCAATTTTCCTCAAGCTTCCTGTTAAGAATTTGGGAGAGTCCATATTGAAGTGAACTATGACAATTAGTTATCTTTTATACAGCCTCTCCTCACTTAGTGATGTACTCATTTACTGACCACTCGGACTTATGACCAGCTCTCCAACCAGTACGCAAACATAAGTAACATATATAAGAGCTGATTTCCTCTATTCTGTTTATTACAGTATACAGTACACTACAGTATAAACATTTAAAAATATACCAGAAATGTTGCCAATGGTGAAAAGGTGACATTAAAAATCATCTAAAGATGGTTGACACAAACCCACTACCAGTATAGTATGCTCCTAGCTTAATGACCAATTCACTTACCGACCTACTTTTAGGAACAGAACCCCATTGTTCAGTGAGAAGAGGCTGTATTCTAACCTTGTAACGATGAATATTTTTGTTAGTGTCATTATAATAGCATTTCATGTTCTTTCCTACTAATATGAAGCAGTACCTCTGCTGAGACCAATTTGCAATGATCTGATACAGATTTCAACAATGATGCCAGTCTGAGATCATTCAAGTTTTTTTTTTTTTTCAACAAGTTGGCGGTTTCCCACCGAGGCAGGGTGACCCAAAAAGAAAGAAAATCCCCAAAAAGAAAATACTTTCAACATCATTCAACACTTTCACCTCACTCATACATAACCACTGTCTTTGCAGAGGCGCCCAGAAAACAGTTTAGAAGCATACATAAAGATACATAACATATCCCTCAAAACTGCCAATATCCCAAGCCCCTCCTTTAAAGTGCAGGCATTGTGCTTCCCATTTCCAGTACTCAAGTCTGGCTATATAAAAATAACTGGTTTCCCTGAATCCTTTCACTAAATATTACCCTGCTCACACTACCAGCTCATCAGGTCCCAAAAACCATTCATCTTCATTCACTCCTATCTAACACACTTACTCACGCTTGCTGGAAGTCCAAGCCCCTTGTCCACAAAACCTCCTTTACCCCCTCCCTCCAACCTTTTTGAGGACGACCCCTACCCAGCTTTCCTTCCCCTACAGATTTACATGCTCTCCATGTCATTCTACTTTGATCCATTCTCTCTAAATGACCAAACCGCCTTAACGACCCCTCTTCAGCTCTCTGACATACTTTTATTAACTACACACCTTCTCCTAATTTCCACACTCCGAATTCTCTGCATAATATTTACACCACACACTGCTCTTAGACGGAACATCTCCACTACCTCCAACCGCCTCCTCGCTGCAGCCTTTACAATCAAAGCTTCACACCCATATAAGAGTGTTGGTACCACTATACTTTCATACATTCCCTTCTTTGCCTCCATAGATAATGTTTTTTTGTCTCCACATATACCTCAATGCACCACTCACCTTTTTTCCTTCATCAATTCTATGGTTAACCTCATCCATCATAAACCCATCCGCTGACAAGTCAACTCCCAAATATCTGAAAACATTCATTTCTTCCATACTCCCTCTCTCTCTAATGTGATATCTAACTTTTCTTTATCTAAATCGTTTGATACCCTCATCACCTTACTCTTATTTATGTTCACTTTCAACTTTCTACCTTTGCATACCCTCCCAAACTCGTCCACTAACATTTCCAATTTTTCTTTAGAATCTCCCATAGCAAAAAGTAACTGTGTCAACTCCCATTTTGTACTTGATTCCCCATAATTTAATCCCACCCCTCTCCTCAACAAACTAGCATGTAACTCCTTCACAACCCCATCTATAAATATATTAAACAACCATGGTGACATTACACATCCCTGTCTAAGACCTACTTTTACTGGGAAGTAATCTCCCTCTCTCCTACACACCCTAACCTGAGCCTCACTATCCTCATAAAAACTCTTTACAGCATTTAGTAACTTACTACCTATTCCATACACTTGCAACATCTACCACATTGCTTCCCTATCCACTCTATCATATGCCTTTTTTAAATCTATAAATGCAATGAAAACTTCCCTACTTTTATCTAAATACTGTTCACATATATGCTTCAATGTAAACACTTCGTATTGTATACCATTCTTGTACAACCTGTCAGACACTGCAACATCATGGAATCTTGATTCTGAGGACATGTATATAACCTTCACGACTACGACAACTACTACTACAACTAACCCATCTCTTTGGTAGGACCTACTTCCACTGGGGAATCCCGCCTACCAGTGACTTTGCCCTCGTCTGCTACCCGTCCCATTTCCACCTGATGTTACTATATAAGCATCAGGCGCCTTGCTTCTGCTTCAGAATCTCGACGACTATGGTGCTCTTCGCACCTACTGCTAGGTTGAGGGACTGATTACCTCATCTTCTGTACATAGTTCTCCTGTCTTCAAGTTATGTCCTGGAATTTGTATTGATAAAGCCACTGGATGGCGAAACGTCTACAATAAAGATACCCAGATGTTGCGCATGTGTCTCAATTTCATCTTGTCGGTATTGTATACCATTCTTGTACAAACACTTGATCTACACATCCCCTACCCTCTCTAAAGCTTCCATGCTCATCTGTAATCCTACTCTCTGTCTTACCTCTAATTCCCTCAATAATAACCCTACCGTACACTTTTCCTGGTATACTCTGTAAAAATTATAGGAGAATAAGTTTACTATCTCTTTTGTCCCCCTTCCCTTTATATAAAGGAACTATACATGCTCTCTGCCAATCCCTAGGTACCTTCCCCTCTTTCATACATTTTTTTTTTTCAACAAGTCGGCCGTCTCCCACTGAGGCAGAGTGACCCAAAAAAGAAAGAAGATCCCCAAAAAGAAAATGCTTTCATCATCATTCAACACTTTCACCACACTCACACATTATCACTGTTTTTGTAGAGGTGCTCAGAATACAACAGTTTAGAAGCATATACGTATAAAGATACAAAACATATCATACATTTATTAAACAAAAATACCAACCAGTCAACACTATATCCCCCTTTGCTTTTAACATTTCTGTCATGATCCCATCAGTTGCAGCTGCTTTACTTACTTTCATTCTACATAATGCCTCACGTACCTCCCCCACACTCGCATCTTGCTCTTCTTCACTCCTAGATGTTATAGTACCTACCCGGCCAGTGCATGAAATTACTGCCTTCCTTTCTTCATCGATATTTAAAAGTTCCTCAAAATATTCCTACCATCTACCCAGTACCTCCAGCTCCCCATCTACTAATTCCCCTACTCTGTTTTTAACTAACAAATCCATTTGTTCCCTAGGTTTTCTTAACTTGTTTATCTAACTCCAAAATTTTTTCTTATTTTCTGCAAAATTTCTTGACAGTGCCTCTCCCATTCTATCATCTGCTCTCCTTTTGCACTCTCCCACCATTCTCTTCACCTTTCTTTTACTCTCCATATACTCTGCTCTTCTTGTAACACTTCTGCTTTGTAAAAACCTCTTGTAAGCTATCTTTTTCTCTTTTATCACACCCTTTACTTCATCATTCCACCAATCACTCCTCTTTCCTCCTGCACCCACCCTCCTATAACCACAAACTTCTGCCCCATAGTCTAATATTGCATTTTTAAAACTATTCCAACCCTCTTCAACCCCCCCCCCCCACTACAGTGGACCCTCAGTTATCGTCCGTTCCTGTTATTGGCCAACTCGGTTATAGGCTGTTTTTCGGCTTCCGGTTATCGGCTGTTATTTCACTTATTGGCTGTATGGGACACATACACCCACCTGCCGGCAGATGCTCGCATCAGTCTGGCTGTGTCTCATAAGAACATAAGAAAGAAGGAACACTGCAACGGGCCTACTGACCCATGCGGAGCAGGTCCATGTCCCCCTCCGGATTACCCCAATGACCTCCCTCCCCCCAGATTAGCCCAATGACTCACCCAGTCTGGTCACCTCCACTCAAGGATGGAGCACGGCACCAGTCCCAGCAGCACAAGCTAGTCAGGTCCAACTCACACCCACTCATGTATTTATCTAACTTATTTTTAAAACTACACAACGTTTTAGCCTGAATAACTGTACTCAGGAGTTTGGTCCACTCATCCACGACTCTATTATCAAACCAGTGCTTTCCTATATCCTTCCTGAATCTGAATTTTTCCAACTTGAAACCATTGCTGCGAGTCCTGTCTTGGCTAAAAATTTTCAGCACACTATTTACATCCCCTTTATTTATTCCTCTTTTCCATTTATACACCTTGATTATATTCCCCCCCTAATTTCATGTCTTTCGAGAGAGTGCAGATTCAGGGCCCTCAGTCTATCCTCATGTGGAAGATTTCTGATACATGGGATCATCTTTGTCATCCTCCTCTGTACGTTTTCCAAAGCATTTATATCCATTCTGTAATACGGTGACCAGAACTGAGCAGCATAGTCTAAATGAGGCCTAACCAAGGTTATATAGAATTGAAGAACAACCTGAGGACTTCTATTATTTATACTTCTAGATATGAAGCCAAGAATTCTGTTAAGCCTTTATTTGCGAACACTAATCACTGTTGTCTAGCTTTTAAATTACTGCTACCCAAAACCCCTTTTAAATCCTTTTTGCAATCATAGTATTATATCTACTTTATTATTATATATTGCATGTTATTTAACTGTCCAACATTTAAACTTTTCATTTGTCAACATTACCTCCTACACCATACACTTGCAACATCTGCCACATTGCCCCCCTATCCACCCTGTCATACGCCTTTTCCAAATCCATAAATGCTATAATCTGTTGTTTTTAGTGGTTATTTATCAAGTGCAACTGCGAAGTCACCATAGCCCCAAAGTTCTTAGTAAAGTTACTTTGGTAAAGAAAGTGAGAAAGACGATAGAATTCAAGGCAGGCAGGCATAGAGGCAAGGAGTGTAGCAGGCATGCAGGAAGTGTAGCAGGCAAGCAGGAAGTGTAGCAGGCATGCAGAGAGTGTAGCAGATATGCAGGAAGTGTAGCAGGCATGCAGGAAGAGTAGCAGGCATGCAGGGAGTATAGCAGGCATTCCAGAAGCCAGCATTAGTCTTCAATAAAGGTATGTAATATCGATTTGTCAAAAATTTTTTTTTTTTGTAAATATTTTTGTCTAGAACGGATTAATTGTAGTTACATTAATTCTTATGGGAAATATTTCGGTTTTTGGCCATTTTGGTTTTAGGTCTAGCTTCTGGAACGGATTACGGCCGATAACCGAGGGTCCACTGTACTCATATTTGCACTAGCCCACCTTTCTGCCAATAGTTGCTTATATCTCACCCTAACTTCCTCGTCCTTTACTTCATACACTTTTACCTCTCTCTCTTACTTGCTGTTGCCATTTTCCTTTTGTCCCATCTACCTCTTACTCTAACTGTAGCTACGACTAAATAATGATCCGATATATCAGTTGCCCCTCTATAAACATGTACATTCAGAAGCCTACCCATCAACCTTTTTTCCACCAATACATAATCTAGCAAACTACTTCATTATATCCTGTATCATACCTTGTATACTTATTTATCCTCTTTTTTCATAAAATATGTATTACTTATTACCAAACCTCTTTCTACACATAGCTCAATTAAAGGCTCCCCATTTTCATTCACCCCTGGCACCCCAACTTTACCTACTACTCCCTCCACAACATTTTTACCCACTTTAGCATTGAGATTCCCAACCACAAGTGCTCTTTCACTAGGTTCAAAACTCCCCATGCACTCAATCAACATTTCCCAAAATCTCTCTTTCTCCTCTACACTTCTCTTTTCTCCAGGTGCATAAATGCTTACTATAACTCACTTTTCACATCCAACCCTTATTTTACTCCACATAATCCTTGAATTTATATATTTATATTCCTTCTTTTCCCACCATAACTTATCCTTCAACATTATTGCTACTCCTTCTTTAGCTCTAACTCTATTTGAAACCACTGACCTAATTCCATTTATTTCTCTCCACTGAAATTCTCCTACCCCCTTCAGCTTTGTTTCATTTAAAGCCAGGACATCAAGCTTCTTCTCATTCATAACATCCACAATCATCTCTTTTTTATCATTCGCACAACATCCACGCACATTCAAACATCCCACTTTAATGGTTTTCTTCTTTTTCTTTTTAGTAGGCCATATAGGAAAAGGGGTTACCAGCCCATTGTTCACGGCATTTTAGTTGATTTTCACAACACGCATGGCTTAAGGACGAAAGATTCTTATTCTACTTCCCCATGGATATAAAAGGAAAAGCAATAAGAACAAGAACTATTAAGACAAAATCAAAGAAAACTCAGATGAGTGTGTATACAGAAACGTGTACATGTATGTGTAGTGTGACCTAAGTGTAAGTAGAAGTAGCAAGATGTACCTGAAATCTTGCATGTTTTTGAGACAGAAAAAAGACACCAGCAATCCTACCATCATGTAAAGCAAATACAGGCTTCCCCTTTACACTCACTTGGCAGGACAGTAGTACCTCCCTGGCTGGTTGTGTTTATGCACCTGGGAAAGAGAGGAGGGTAGAAGAGAGAGTCAGGGATATAGGAAGTAAGTGTTAGGAAATTTTAAACCAAGTGAGAAAGTAACAGAGTAACTGTTGTAGACGGCATAGTAAGTTTGGGGTGCCAAGGGTAAATGACAGTAAGCCTTTAATTGAACTTTGTAAATATAGAAGTTTGGTAACAGGTAATACCTGTTTTAACCCTTTCACTATCCAGACCCCCTACTGGATTAAAGTTTCAATATTACTAGTACTTTCAGACACTATGAACCATTACAATTTGAATAAAATAACTTGACACTTCTCAACCATATTATCTACCATCTGCAATTTCATTATTAATATACTAACCGAAAAGACACCTGATATGTTGTCTGTTCAAGGGTCCAAAAGGGCTGGGAAGAAAGTCGATCCACATTATATAAAGACCTCTGGTAACGGCTAAAAAACAAGCCTTTCTCCACTGCACGGTCATATATCTGTAAGAAAATATAAATATTTTCTTATGACATGTCACACTATATCTACTCAAAACTTCAAATTACTAAACATACAAGTTATATATGTACTCTATTATTCATTTTACATCTTTAGGACAATGAACCTTAATACTAGTATGCAATTATGATTCTGGCCAATTCTTTAACTCTCAACACATACCAGAAATTGAAAGGCCCTTTTGTGTTGCCATTTTTTGAAAAAAAAAAAAAAAAAAAAAAAAAAAAAAAAAAAAAAAAAAAAAAAAAAAAAAAAAAAAAAAAAAAAAGGTAAGAGATTTTTTCTAAAGATAATGTAGTACACTACTTATAAAATTACACAGGCATGAAGAGGACAGCTAGGAGCACTTTATGCAACAGCAATTTTGCCCATTTGAGGCCTATCTATGGCAAATTCCAGTGCTAAAATCAATCCAATTCCTGACTACTTCACTAGTACACTTTTCGTCCAATGAACTGAGCACAAGAAATAGTCCATTCAAATAAGTATCAAGAATTCAGTAATTTGTCCATTTTTACAGTACTGTCAACAAATTTCAATTAAAAATCAGTGTAGGCATTCCAGTCACTAAAACAGTCCTCCCTCTATTCATTAATCTCATTACCAGTCCTCTCCTATATAACTCTTGGCACTAGAAGCTCACCTAATGGCACCGTAGAGTCCTGCCACTTGCAAAAAATGTTGCTGATATGCCTTTTTTTTCTTGCTTTTTTTTAATTTACATTATTTTTATTTTCTGATAATTACAATTTATAGTAGTTTCTGATAATTACAATTTATAGTAGTTCTTGTGATTTTATAGCCAATTTTTGTTCTGACACTAATATTAGGTACAGAAATAGTAATCAAACAGTCACAAACATATTGACAGGTGAGCATGTTCACCTACCTTGGTCACAAACTTGTCTAAAATATATACAAATTATTCATAGGTCCCTGCAAAGCTTTTAGAAGTGTTGGAGTATATGAAACTCGCAAGCATTGTGTCAGACAGAGTGGCACTCGACACTGATGATAGTGCAGTCACTCAATACTGCTGATTTTGTACCAGTGAACCTTAGTGTTTTTTTTTTATTTTCACTGTGTCACATACATAACAAGTCTGTCTCTGTGTATCTGTCTGTCTCAGAAAGAGTCACTCATGAACCAACAGGTACTGGACATGTTGCAGAATCGTCACATTTGAACAAGTGGAAATCCGCATTACTTGCCACAGTCATGCTTAGGCCTCATATCAACACAGTATAGCACTTTGTCTGCCTTTTTTGGGTTATCCACAGTATAGCACTTTGTCTGGCTTTTCTGGGTTATCCACAGTATAGCACCTTGTCTGACTTTTTTGGGTTATCCTAGGTAATTTACACCATGTATGATAACTGTTTTTTGTGCTAACCCAGCCAGCCATCTGAACATGTATTACACATGTTGCAGAATTCTCTCTCTCTCTCTACTTAGGGCATAGGTGACAGGACATTCTGGCAGGATGACACTACCATCTGCATCAAAATTGAAAGGATGTGGCACAAATGTTGCACATGGGTTATTATTTAGGTTTTTGATATTTTCTCGACCACTTATGGCCACATTCATCTCAAAGCCACTAAACTCAGGGTCAACATCATTTTTCTCCTAAAAGGTATGTTAATATGACATGGCATTAGTGAATCCCTGGGGTTTGCCATGCTGTTTGCTCTAGTTGGCACTCAGTTGAACTGGTGCTCCCACAAGGTACTAAGTGGTCACAGATTTTTTAATACTAAACATACTAAGTGTTAAGATCCATTCTATATTGACAAGGTATCTCAGGTCTATTGTGCCAAATTTGGAGGCAAGAAAAACAAAACATCGATCTACGTTTGGAGCACAAGCAGTAAGAACATAGATCGACCTTTAGACAGTTAAAGGGTTAGTTATGTCCCCAGGCCTCTCTTATATTAAGCTTGCTTTCCATTTTGAATTTTTATTCACACAAAAAATAGAAGATTTACTGTTATGCAAGCTACTGCATTATTGTAATAATTGTATAAATAATATCAGGGTATTCCTAAATGTGTATTAGACTGGCAAGCTGGACGTGTATTGGATGAGTGACCTCATCTGTGTACTCTGGAATATCAGCAAAAGTCAAACATTTCCACTATTTTGAGGTTAATTTCAAGCTACTTTCATTCCAGAAACCAATCAAAATAATCTCTGTTGCTGTAATATCTCTTCCACTCCATCAAAAGAGACCAAAAACCCGAGAATACAACCATAAAAACCATATGAAAATACACAAATAACCTGCACATAGGAAAGAGGGACTTATGACAATGTTTCATTCCAACTTAGACAACCTTAGTCATGGCTTTGTCGCTGTAGATGCCTTCCTTTGCCATTACACTGTCAAATGCTCCAAACTTCAGAACATACATGACTTAACCTAACCTGATTCTGTTTTTTCCTCCTCTGTCTACCTCTTCACCTTTACTATTTTTCCTTTTTCTTGTTTTGGGTTTCCTTTCTTCTGCCTTGGATGTTTTGTCCTTTACTCCTGCCCACTTCTGCCGGTGTTTTTGGTTTTACCCCTTGTGAGTCCTTATCTCTCCTGCAGTGCTCCTCTTTCTTGACCTTTGACTCCACCATTACTACTATTTCCTTTCCTACTACCTCTGGCTCCTTCCTTCACTTCTGTCTCCATTTTCTCTCCCCCTTTGTATTCTTGTCCCACCTACCACTCTCCCTAGCCTTACCTTTATCACCACTAGTTCTACTACTACTTCCACTGCCTGCCTTACCTTTACTACTACTACTCTCACCTCTCCTTTCTGTCCCTGCTAGCTGGGCTATGTATACTGGCTCCTTCTCTCCTTTCTGTTAGTGTGACTTTGTAAATGGTCCAAGTCGGACTGAATCGTCATCATAAGCTCCTCTCTCCTACATGTGGGTTATTTGTGTATTGTCCTAGTCATGGTATTGTGCCTTTTTGTTTTTCATATGAAAATATGCTGCAAAGTCACTGTTTTAAAAAAACACAGTCAATTTTTTTTCACCATTATGCACTGCGTGCTGCAGAATTTTTTTATATGGTGTACACTTACAGCATAGACCCTTTCTCTCATATCTACCCATTCTCTCATATTTACTGCTCACAGCTTATCTGACAGAGATAAGCTCATCATGTAGTACTATGACACCCACCTTCAAAGGGTTAAGAAATATCTTAGCCTATTGTGGGTACTCCCTGGCTTCTTCATTCTTCATTGTTGTTGTGACGATATGGTGATGTGACGATGATACAATGCCAACAATGATGAGATGAAGTGAGGTAATGGTGTAGGCATTGTGATGTTGTGTTAGGTTATTGAGAACTGAGTAGTAACATGGTGAAACCTTCCTGCCACAGCAGGGAGGGAAGGTTTTACCATGTTACTCAGAATGATGTGCAATTTGAATTATTATTATCATAATCAAGGGGGAAGCGCTAAACCCGTAGGATTATACAGCGCCTGTGGGGGGGATGGAAGGTACTCAGGCTTAATTCAGGGAACTGGAGCACAGATCCAGTTCCCTAGATCAAGAGCCCCTCACCAGCATCAAGGAACCTTCCTTGAGGGGGCATGCAATTTGAAACTTATGAATCTTTTATTTCTGGAATTTTCCATTTAATATTTTCGGGCCACAGTAAATCACAGATAACTGAAACCACAAAAACCGAATCTGTGGATACAGGGTTCTTCTGTATATTTAAACTAATATTTTTAACTTCATTCTCAAACATTATGTAGAAGGTATTGTCAGTATTGAATAAAAGTTTGTTTGTTGTCATCTACAGAGGCATCCTTTTGAGTACAGCATCAATTGTATTGTTGAGGCCAATAGGATCTGCATTTATGATGGCAAAAGTCATTGTTTGCAAAAAAGAACTGGTTTAATTTATTGCGAGGCACTGGGAAGGTCAATGATGTTTACCTGGAGAGAGTTCCGGGGATCAACGCCCCCACGGCCCGGTCTGTGACCAGGCCTCATGTAGATAGGGAAATAGTAGAGGGCCTATGACACTGCCCTGTGGCACCCATGTTGATTGGTAGGGTAACTGAAAAACTTTGTCTTTAATGGTCGCATGTTGACACCCTACCCTTGAGGTAAATTTTATGTAATGTATGAAAGATCATGGCCCCTGACTCTATAATATTCTAGTTTGAACAATAAGATGTTGTGGGCTATTGTATCAAAATATTTTTTTAAGACAATAAAAGGGTTCTTTGAATATTTATTATTTTTCAAATATACTGAAACAAGCATTTTTTATTTATAGCATCATTGGTACTCTTACCTGGCCTGAAATAAAAAATGGCAGTAGTTTAGGATATAATTTTTTTATAATAATTCATAGATTTGTTTATGTATTTTATGATAAATTAAGTAACTCTTTGATTGCTACTTAATGAACACTTGTAAATGTGGTTTCCTTAGCCTTGGTGGAAGACAGCCAATTTAGTTAAAAAAAAAAAAAAAAAAAAAAAAAAAAACTGCAGATCTCACCTGGTATGCCTCTATAGTCTTGCCCTCACGCTGTAGAGCATCCCCAAGGTGGAAATAGAAACGTCCATCTGATGTCCCCTCTGCTTCACTTTCAATTCCTTTTTGCATATAAAAGGCTCCGCCGGTGTTATTGTTGTAAGTAGTTTTTAGGATAAATCCATAGTGAACCTATAATAAGAGAAACATCAAATAAAAGAATTGTCATTTAAAATAAAAGATTAATATAATTAAATGAGATAAAAATTAACATAAATTGTTACTCTATACTTATGCTTAGTATACTGTCTTCTGCATTAGTACAGTAAATAATAACACAAACAACTGGCATAACAAAAGGCCATAACTATAAATGAGGAAGAGCAGCCCTAAGGGCACCAGAAAGTTTTCCTTCACAAATGGTAGTAGAATGAAATGGTTTACATAAGTTAGTAACTGCTATTGTCTACTACAAACTCAGAAAAACTCCAACCATGATATGACAATGTCAGAAGATGAAAGGGTGGACAATCTTGTATTTTGACCAAGAAGGCCTATGGTACAATATCTCATAGTGTACAGTATGACTACTTCATAAACTGGAAAAGCACCAGAAAATGTCGTGCTGTACCTGATCAAAAGAGCCGAGTCAGTTATACAGATGTCATTTTGCTCCATGAGGTTGAGGAGGATACCCATAATTTTTTTTTTCCCTTAAAGTGGCCAGTAAGGGATATATTATCAATTACAATAACAACCTTACTATAAAGAAGACATACAAGTGTATAAAGTTTAGGGTCAATGTAAATATGCATCCTCAACTTAACCTTTTCAGTGGCCGTCAAGTAGAACTACATTACTGAGCCCAGGGGTCTCTCGTGTAGTTCTAAGTCATGAGCTCAGCGAGTGTGTACAATTTAAAAAATCCTGCCTCACACGGTGCATGATGAGAAAAGCAAAACTCTGGCCTTGTGTTTGGTTTAAAATAGTGAGTATGAGGTGTTTTCTAGGATGGTTTTAAAAGCTGTTTCTTGGTATCATTTGATAGAATGGAAGATATACTACTGAAATCAAGATAATTTTGATTGGTTTCAGGACCAGAAGTAGCTTGAAATTGGGCCCAAAATAGAAGAAATATTAGATTTTTGCCAATTTTCCTGACAATGGGTAAGGCTCCCCTACACCCCCAATCTGCTTTATGGGTTATTTAATAGGTCAGTTCATTGTTAATTTTGAGGTCTGGACAGTGGAAGGGTTAAATTGCAATCTGCAGAAAAAAAGGTGTGCCACAAACTATATAGTAATTACCATAAGATGATAGGAAGATAGCATGGATGATATAGCAAAGTAAAGATGAAATATGGGATGTATATTACTGTACTAGGAAGAGGTTCATTATCATCATCATACTTAAGCACTGAACCTACAAGGGTCATACAGCAGGGAGAAGTCCAAAACAAGAATACCAATACATTTGGCAAGTAACATACCATCTCAAAATTTCTTCAAATTTGGTTTTCAAGGTTATAATATGTTCTGAATTCATATTTGTAAATCTTACCTCAGTCTTATTTATATGTCAAGACTGAAGTGTAAGCTAGGTCAGAGATCCGCAACAATTTTGTAGAGACGGGCCAGAATGTAAATATTTTAAGCTTCAGAGGCCAAGACAATGGTAAAATTAACCTTTTTAAGGTCTGTGCTGTAGTACTATGGCTTTGAGCTTAGGATCAGTGCCGCAGAAGTACATGACGAGCTCGGCTCGCTCAGATAAGCAGTGAATGGTAAATTTGGGCCTGGATATTAGAGAATGGATCTATGCAGTGAGTGTGCACCATATAACAAAAATCCTGCCCCGAGCAGTGCATTATGCGAAAAAACTAACAGTGTTTTTGATTTAAAACAGCAACTTTGCCGTGTATTTTCGGATGGTTTTTATATTTGCATTCTTGGTTTTTTGGAATCATTTGACAGAATGGAAGATATATTACAGAAACAGAAATTATTCTAATTGGTTTCAGGACTGAAAGTAGCTTGAAATTGAGCTCAAAGTAACAGAAATGTTTGACTTTGCCAATATTCCAGAGAACACAAATTTTATCACTTATCCCATATGTGTCCAACTGGTCAGTCTAATACACGATCATGAATGCAGTGATATTTTATGCAATGATTACAATAATACAGTAGTCTGCATAACAATAATCTTCTACTTTTGAGAAAATAAAATTCAAAATGGAAAGCAAGTGTAATATAGGATAGGCCTGGGGACATAACTAATGAACAGAGGAAATGTTGTTTTAATGCCAGGAATGTCTACACTGTATATTCTGGACCCTATTTTTAAACTGGCAATTTTCAAATTTTGTGTGAAATTGGCCAAATTACCAATGTCTGATCAATTTAGTAAAGTAAAGGTTTATTTCTTTGTAAAGGTTATAATATGTAATTACAATTTTGGCTTGCTAAGTAGAAAGAAAGCCACTATCATGCCGGGGCATTTCAGGCAGACTAATCCTAATATACGTAATAACTAGTTAAAACTAGACAAAATGATAGTACATAGTACAGTGGAACCTCTACTTGCAAGTGCATCCACGAGCGAGTTTTTCCAAATACGAGCAGTCGATGGGTAAATTTTTTGCTTCCATACACGAGCAAAATTTCCATAAGCGAGCAGACCTCAAGGCAGGTGCCTTGACGCTGGTGAGGGGCTCTTGCTCTTGATCTAAGGAATTGTATCTCATTTATTTGTTGGACTATCTTATTAGAACTTGGGCAATGTATGATGGAAAGATGCTTCTTAACGTAATAATAATAATAACAATTATGTGCATAATAATACTAATATGTATAATAATAATAGTATAATAAAATAATGATAATAATATAATACAATAATGATAATAATATAATACGTTTATTTTTTTTTTCAACAAGTCGGCCGTCTCCCACTGAGGCAGGGTGACCCAAAAAAGAAAGACAATCCCCAAAAAGAAAATACTTTCATCATCATTCAACACTTTCACCACACTCACACATTATCACTGTTTTTGCAGAGGTGCTCAGAATATAACAGTTTAGAAGCATATACGTATAAAGATACACAACATATCCCTCCAAACTCCCAAACCCCTCCTTTAAAGTGCAGGCATTGTACTTCCCATTTCCAGGACTCAAGTCCGACTATATGAAAATAACCGGTTTCCCTGAATCCCTTCACTAAATATTACCCTGCTCACACTCCAACAGATCGTCAGGTCCCAAGTACCATTCGTCTCCATTCACTCCTATCTAACACGCTCATGCACGCTTCAAATTCAATCAAATTCAAAGTTTATTCTCTATAAGGATTACAATGCTGAGTTTACAGAAATTTGGTTATTGTTTGGTTTACATGTAGTAAAATTGTGATTACAGAGTGTACCACTAGAACGCTTAGCATGGCTAGGCATTTCGGGCTTGCTGGAAGTCCAAGCCCCTTGCCCAAAAAACCTCCTTTACCCCCTCTCTCCAACCCTTTCGAGGACGATCCCTACCCCGCCTTCCTTCCCCTATAGATTTATATGCTTTCCATGTCATTCTACTTTGATCTATTCTCTCTAAATGACCAAACCACCTCAACAACCCCTCTTCTGCCCTCTGACTAATACTTTTATTAACTCCACACCTTTTCCTAATTTCCACACTCTGAATTTTCTGCATAATATTTACACCACACATTGCCCTTAAACAGGACATCTCCACTGCCTCCAACCATCTCCTCGCTGCTGCATTTACCACCCAAGCTTCACACCCATATAAGAGTGTTGGTCCTACGTACTATACTTTCATACATTCCCTTCTTTGCCTCCATAGATAACGTTTTTTGACTCCACATATACCTCAACGCACCACTCACATTTTTTCCGTCATCAATTCTATGTACTGCATAATAATAATTATAATAACAGACGACTTCAAAAGGCCGTCACTAGATGGCAGGTTTACCACAACATAAATAAATAAAGTTTATTTCTTTGTAAAGGTTACAATGTGTAATTACAATTTTGATTTGCTAAGTACAAAGACAGCTACTATCATGTCGAGGCATTTCGGGCAAACTAATCCTAATACATAGTAACTAATTAAAACTAGATAAAAAATAGTACGTTTCGCCACACAGTGGCTTCATCAGTCCAATACAAAGTAGAATTGCGTAAGGAGAGGAGAAGTTTGAGGTAATCAGTCCCTCAACCTGGAATCGATGTGTTCAGTCCATCACTCTTGTTGGAAGTGCAGCATAGGGCCAGAGAGGTGGCTTATATACTGCAGACAGATGAGGTGAAGCAGGAGGAGGCGGGATCACAGTGGGACCTGCCACTAGTGTAAGTAGGTCATCGTCCAAAGGTTGGGCAAGCGTTGAAGTCTTTGTACCAAGATCCCACGATGTTGCAGTGTCTGACAGATGTGATGAATGGTTTTGAAAACCGACAAGTTGAGGGACTGATTACCTCAAACTTCTCCTCTCCTTACGCAATTCTACTTTGTATTGGACTGATGAAGCCACTGTGTGGCGAAACGTTTCTTCAATAAAGATTCCCATGTGTTGCGTGTCTCAATTCTTCAACTTGTCAGTTTTCAAAACCATTCATCACAAAAAATAGTACATAGTAACTATACTTAAAACTAAACAAGGAATAGTGCTTAGCTGTTTTACAATCTTATTTGAACTTAATAAATCTTATTTAAACTTAGTACAAAAATCTAGCTTACAAGTAATGGTGCAGGTGGTAATATTTTATGGAATGGCAGAATTAAAAGCCAGAAGGTCACATGATAAAACTAGTTAGCAGATGTTTGGTTGATTTGGTTAATATCACGAGGTAAGATGATTTTTTAGGAAAGTTCTAAATTTATAAGCTGTCTGGGGATCCTTGACCTGTTCAGGTAGCGAGTTCCAGATCTTCGGGCCTTTTATGTGCATAGCGTTCTTGCATAGTGAGAATCTGACTCGAGAGATGTTGAAAAGTGCCTTATGCCTTGTATTGTGACTGTGCATTCTGTTGTAACTGTCGAGTAGTAGTTTTAGGGGAGGGTTTACAGTGGAGTTTAAAGTTCTGTATATGTAGTAGGCACAATAATAAGAGTGTATGTCTTGTACAGTGGACCCTCGAGTTACGAACTTTTTTCGTTCCAGACGGCTGGTCAAG